CTCAGAGGATCAGCAAGGGTGGGAGGGAGTGGGGAGGTGTGTGTGAGGGTTAGGGCTCCGAGTAGGTGCATCAAGGGTGTGAGGGAGTGGGGAGGTGTGTGTGAGGGGTGTGTGTGAGGGTTAGGGCTCTGAGTAGGTGCATCAAGGGTGTGAGGGAGTGGGGAGGTGTGTGTGAGGGGTGTGTGTGAGGGTTAGGGCTCCGAGTAGATGCATCAAGGGTGTGAGGGAGTGGGGAGGTGTGTGTGAGGGGTGTGTGTGAGGGTTAGGGCTCTGAGTATAGGTGCATCAAGGGTGTGAGGGAGTGGGGAGGGGTGTGTGAGGGGTGTGTGTGAGGGTTAGGGCTCCGAGTAGGTGCATCAAGGGTGGGAGGGACAGCAGGGTGGAGGAAGAAAAAAAGAAAGGGGAATAATTGTTTTTTTTAAATAAACTAGCAAATATTACCCTCTTAACCCCATATTAACACCAAAGGGTCAACATACATTATATCCAGGGGTGCACATCACTTTTTTGCCCTGGTTCTCAAAGGAGCACCTGGAGATGTTGCTTGGTGCGCATCCTTAGTCTTATCTCTGGTCTTAAACGCAGGGTGATTAGGAGGACCATCTGTTTTAACAGCGTCTCCAGGCTGTCCTCAGAAAGCCCACTGAGGGATTTCAGCGCTTCCAGATGTGTGCTGGATCCTCTGTGAACATGGTGAACACCCTCTAACACACTCCTATACACACTCCTACACACTCTCCTGTACACACACACTCCTATACACACTGCTGTACACACACACACTCCTTTACACACAGCTGCAACACACCGCTGCAACACACTCCTATACACACAGCTGCCACACACTCCTACACACACTCCTATATACACACAGCTGCCACACACTCCTACACACACTCCTACAGTAAGGATTACAGTTACTTTTTCTTGAGTACATAATCCTGTTGTAATCCATTACTTCCCAACCCTGCCTACATCACACTGCTGCAAACAACTCTCCCTTTCTGCTGATGCTTAGCAATTACAAACAGTGTGTGTGTGTGTGTGTGTGTGTGTGTGTGTGTGTGTGTGTGTGTGTGTGTGTGTGTGTGTGTGTGTGTGTGTGTGTGTGTGTGTGTGTGTGTGTGTGTGTGTGTGTGTGTGTGTGTGTGTGTGTGTGTGTGTGTGTGTGTGTGTGTGTGTGTGTGTGTGTGTGTGTGTGTGTGTGTGTGTGTATGTTTCTGATAGTTTACAATTTTTTTTCAAAGTGTGTGTACAGTGTAGTTAGTACATGTGCAGTCATGCGGTTTGGGTGTATGACTCATTGTTAGTCATCTGTCCTGGGACGCACTAAACTCAGAGCCAAGTGTGTGTGTGTGTGTGTGTGTGTGTGTGTGTGTGAGACGCCATGTGCTTTTCCAGGCTCTCAGCTATGTACACAACATGTAGAAAGTGGAGGGGGGGCTTCCTGTTTACCAGGTGCATCTTAGCGAGAGAATAATAACACTCTCACTTAACTCTAATGCCTTTAGACACATCCTGGAAAGATGAAGACTTCTGTGTTGTAGTTATTACTAATGTGTGTTCAATTGATTTTTTTCTCACCATAGTGCTGACATTTTATCGAAATCACAATGGCCCACTACCCTTTTTTCAATATGCATAAGGTGTAAGATTAAGTCAATGTTAAATGTACGTCTGAATATTCTTTAAAGTTAAATAAGCTGCAGAGATGTCAGTGCCTACGAATTGTCTTCTACAGACGAAAGGGAGAACACGTCTTCGTACGGTGGCCAACGCGCTACATCTTCAGAAATGATGCTAATATAAAAACACAATTGTACCAAAACACCGGAAAAACAACGTGACAACACATGCGCCGCTTTTAGGAAATATTGGCCTACTTGAGGAAACATGGTCGACAAGTGCCAAAACATATCTGAATAATTATTGCAATTGCACTTTTAGTAAACGCTCCGCCCGTTTCCTCGAGTTAGTGAAGATGTTCCTTCATCTTTATGTGTTTTGACACATATGGGTGTTTATATCTTCATTGTTTCTGAAGCTGCAAAGTGTTTCTCCAAATGGAAAAGCTTTAGGCCGTTGTAGCAGATTCACACAAGCAGACCACTGTATGTTTACTGTTTATCTAATGGCGCATTTCCACTGCAGGGCCTCGCTCTCGGCTTAGTACGGTATAGTTAGGCTCACTTTATGCTGCGTTTCCATTACAGTTTAGTAGCTGGGGCAGTAACTATAGTAACGCAGTGTAGGCGGAGCCGTGACGTCATCTTCAATGAGAACCACAAAACCAACATCAGCTGTTAGTTGTTAGCACTCAGAGCTCACAGCTCCTCATATCTGTTCAGAAACTAGACAGAAGTTAAACAAGTACAAACCACAGACTGCCTGTGTCATGGTGAGTACAGTCGCTGGTTTATTTATGTCTGTAGGCCGTTGTTGTGAGTGTGGACGGTCGGAGCATATATAACGTTAGCTTAGCCAAGCTCCATTCAGAAAGCACACATTTTAAAAGGTTTTTCGCCTGCCGTCTGTCTGCAGACTTGTTAAAGCATTAATTCATGGTTTTTATTAACCGGTATCAGTATGTTGTTACTTCGGCATCATTTTGAAACGTGTATTACAATTAAATCACGGTCAAATATGTTCATCTTGTTGTAGTTGTAGCCCCCTTGCCAGCGGTTCTCTCTCTAGTTTAGCATACTCAGCCCGACTCAGCCTGGTTGTTGGCCCGTACTACGCCAAGTGTAAACGCAACCAAAAGACGGGGCGCGCACGGAACGGCACGCTTAAACCGTGCTCCGCGCTGTAGTGGAAATGCGCCATTATACACACAAAGCAAAGTCCTTTTATACGTAAACCTACTTGGTAATAAACCTGTTCATAGAATAATGATGTTTAAAGGAGACATGTCATGCTTTTCCGGTTAGTACCCGTCCCCTTGTGTGTTATGAAGGTTTTTATGCATGTAAGCGGTGTGCAGAGTCAAAATCCTCAAAGTACACCCTGTAGCGAGTAAAACTCTAAAACAGAAAATACCTCCCCAAAACGCCTCGTTGGTGAAACGTCATTGTCCATTTTTTACTTCCTGGGTGCTGTGTCAGAAGCACCCAGTAGCCACGCCCAGAACTATGACGCGATACGGTCATGCGGTAGCCGGAACCAAATGGGCCAATCCGTGGAGCCGTTACGTTACGTCCGCGGAGCCGTTACGCTAAGCCCCCGCTGATTGGTCCAAATTGACCAATCCACGGACTTCCTCACACACTCAGTGCAGGCAGCTCTGCTGATTTCTCCTCCCTGGCTGCAGGCTGATAACAGACAGTTGGGATCGCGGCGAAATTCTCTCTGCAGACCCATTCTCTCTGCAGACCCATTCTCTCTGCAGACCCGTTCTCTCTGCAGACCCATTCTCTCTGCAGACCCATTCTCTCTGCAGACCCATTCTCTCTGCAGACCCGTTCTCTCTGCAGACCCATTCTCTCTACAGACCCATTCTCTCTGCAGACCCATTCTCTCTGCAGACCCGTTCTCTCTGCAGACCCATTCTCTCTGCAGACCCATTCTCTCTACAGACCCATTCTCTCTACAGACCCATTCTCTCTGCAGACCCATTCTCTCTGCAGACCCGTTCTCTCTGCAGACCCGTTCTCTCTGCAGACCCGTTCTCTCCGCAGACCCATTCTCTCTGCAGACCCGTTCTCTCTGCAGACCCATTCTCTCTGCAGACCCGTTCTCTCTGCAGACCCGTTCTCTCTGCAGACCCGTTCTCTCCGCAGACCCATTCTCTCCGCAGACCCATTCTCTCCGCAGACCCATTCTCTCTACAGACCCATTCTCTCTGCAGACCCGTTCTCTCTACAGACCCATTCTCTCTACAGACCCGTTCTCTCCGCAGACCCATTCTCTCTACAGACCCATTCTCTCTGCAGACCCATTCTCTCTGCAGACCCGTTCTCTCTGCAGACCCGTTCTCTCCGCAGACCCATTCTCTCCGCAGACCCATTCTCTCTGCAGACCCATTCTCTCTACAGACCCATTCTCTCTGCAGACCCATTCTCTCTGCAGACCCGTTCTCTCTGCAGACCCATTCTCTCTGCAGACCCATTCTCTCTGCAGACCCATTCTCACAGCGTTTATCAACCTTTTCCTTACTCAATATCAAGCCACACTTATTGTTTTTACTTCGGCTGTGACTTTGTGTGCTCAGGACGAGTTTGGCTGTGTTTCGATGTGTATCGCTAAACAAGGAAATCACACCTCCACGGAGCTCAGCGCGATTCACAACGTCCCGACTGGTCCCGACCAATCGGAGCACACTGGGCTCACAGGGAGGTGGGGGAGAGCTGCAACGAGCCGTTTAGTGGAGAGAGTGAATACACGTAGTTTACAGAGATGCTGTATGCGAAACCAATGTGAGTTTGGAACATTGCACAGTATTTTTCTATTCTAGTAGACCTCAACAATGGAATTATGATCAGTGGAAATGGCCATGACACCTCTCCTTTAAATGATCCTTCTCTTATATATTGCAAACAATGATGCAATAGATTTATTTATATTAACTTGCACTATTTTATGTGTGTTATTGTGTTGCTCTGTTGGAGGAGCCTGTGACCTCAGATGTTCATTGACATATCTACACTGTAGCTGCTGAACACATGACCATTCTTGAATTACAATCAGCCAACTACTCAAAATGAAGAAACTTCCCCGAAGCCCCCCAGTGCAGAAACCGTTAGAAACAAACGTTATACATTTTCTCCAGGAAACAAAGTGGCAGTTAAGATAAACTGGAGCTGCTCGCTGCACACACACACACACACACACACACACACACACACACACACACACACACACACACCCTCACACACCCTCACACACACACACCCTCACACACGCATGGGAGGAGGTTGCTCTGGGGGAAGCGGGCTAATGGCAGGCAGTTAGAGAGGGGGTGTGGACTCAGAGAGAGAGAGAGGGAGAGAGAGAGAGAGAGAGAGAGGCCGTATAAAGAGCCACTCAACACAGCCAGACTTCATCCTGCCTCACTCAGACCTCACAGGAAACACACACTCCTCACCTCCTCCACCGCTGAACACACTCCTCACACACACACACACCTCACACACACTCCTTTACCCTCTCCAGTATCAGTGTGACCCAGTGAGAGGATGGCCATGTGGAGGATGACCCTGCTGCTCGGCGCTCTGCTGCTCAGCTGTGAGTACAACTTCATTCATAAAACTACTTTAATGAAAAGTTCCCTCAGACTCTAACGTTGAGCTGGTCCTTCGTTTGTGTTTGTAACCTGAACGTGGGCGATATTGCATTGTATTTAACGTGACACTGAGGGGGTTTCTTTACACACTTGCGGGGGGGGGGGGTTGCTTTGATGCCATGAGGCTGCACGCAGACACAAAGGCTCTGCTGAGGAGTGGAAAGTTGGGAATAATTATGCTTTTAATCCTGCAGTGCAGCTGGGTGGAGCTGATGCATGTTTGAATGTGTGTGAAAGGGATAAACCCAAGCATGGAACCACATATCTATGTATGTTTATGCCTTCAGGGAAGATATATCCATGTAAATATGAGCTGCTTGACCACTAAAGAGGTTTTTTTTTTTAAATTAGATGCACTTTATTGATCTAGATTTGTGTTGTTGGTACAGCAGCATGTAAACAAGGCTTTGCACACGCGTTAAAACATTGAATTAAAAGTAAAACGGGTAGACAGCAGTGGATTCAGAGTTCCCTCCCTGTGTGTGTGCACGTGTGATCACGGGCAGGCTGCTAATTGCAAGGTGATGTATGACTGGTTCTGGATCAGCTCGGTGTAACGACTTCTGCAGAGCCTCGGGGCGAGAGAGGTGACCTTTGGGAGGAGAGGAGAGGAGGAGAGGAGAGGAGGAGAGGAGGAGAGATGAGAATAACTTTAAGGTTTATTTTAAAAGGGGGAAGCGATCATGAGACGGGGGAACACGGTGGCAGTGTGCACATAAAAAGGCGTGTGCATCAGCAGCTAACACGCGGTGATAGATTTACGGTAAATCTAGTAACTGTGGACACGCCCCATCGAGGAGTAAAAGCCACGACACAGAGGCACACATAATAATCAGGTTATTTTGTTGATTGAAAAACATTTCTCTGTATTTGGGGGTTAGTTTGTTTTCAGTGATGGGAAACGGCCAAACATCTGGTTCACGGTGTTTCTCAAACTTTTATTACTTTTTTTATGATGTTTTTTTTGTATTTTCAACAAAAGGTATTGCACATGTTCCCTAGCGATATAAAAAAACAAAAAATAAACAAGCTGAAATTCAGACACCATGCTCACACATTTTATACATTATTATTAATAATAATAATAGTATTTAGAAGAAGAAGAAAACAAATTGAATAATAATATTATTCTTAAAATGTATAAATACAAATAATAATAATAATAAATATAAAAAATAACCAAAAATAATAAAAATTCCAAAAAAAAGAAATACAAATAAAAAATAATAATACAAAATGTTCTCTCACTTTCAGTTGGTTGATACTTCATGTTTCTCATTTAAAAACCTCTATTTTAATCAGTAATAAATCTCCATCCACTGCCCTTTCAGTGGGGGCTCAGCCTTACGCCAGTCTCTTGTTAGTTGTTGTCTTCTTGCTTGTAACCAACAGTATCTTGATTCAATTCAGTATTTCAGTATTTCACTAAAATGGTTTATATTTCAAAGTACACACCTCTTCAGGATGTCTTTGATCCTAGTGTGCATGTTTTTGCCAAAGTAAATCATTCTGGAAAACATCAGTGCAGTCTGAGGTCTGCTGACTCGGCACTATGCTCACACACACCTGTGACATTATTCACACACACACACACACACACACACACACACACACACACACACACACACACACACACACACACACACACACACACACACACACACACACACACACACACGTCCAACTGTCAATGTGGTGCTATCTTCCAGAGGCAGGGTCACAAGTGGCTGCAAGAAGAAACACAATACTGTAAATGCATCGATGGTTTGTTTGTATACAGTAGAGGGAATGTGACGTCAACAACAGCAAGTCTGCCATCTTTGGAGGATACCACCAACATATTGATTTAACCTGTAAGGCGAGCAAAGTGGTTTTAATCCGATGAATCTAAACGTTACAACATTGGTCGGTATGCAGCCAATCCCACAACCAGCTACAAAACATTTGAGGATTCATTTTAAAACTCTTTTATTTACTTTTAAAGCTCTCAATGGCCCCGCCCTACCTCTCTGAGCTGCTACACGCCCACTCGCACTCTCAGGTCAGCTGATCAGTTGCTCCTGAGGGTGCCAAAAACAAAGTCTAAGCGCAGAGGGGACCGTGCTTTCTCTGCTGCGCCCCTAAACTGTGGAACGACCTGCCCTTGCTCATCAGACAGGCTCCCACACTGTCTGCTTCTAAATCCCGTCTTAAAACCCACCTCTTCTCCTTAGCATTCGGAAACAAGTAGATTGTTGCTTTTATTTGCTTTCAGTGGTCTATTGTTTTTATTATATGGCTGTTATTTATTTTTTAATTATTACGTTTATCCTGGTTTGTTTTGTGTTGTATCTTGTATTTTAAATGTATTTATATTATGTTGTGTGAGCTTATCTCTCTGTTCAGCACTTTGGTCTGAAGGTTTTAAAGTGCTATATAAATAAAGTTGGATTGGATTGGAAAACAAAAGAAGGACCATGGGATAATGTTTTTTAAAAGGAAAACCTTACAATGGAGACGTAGCCCTGAAAGATGGGAGTATTCACAAATATACGTTTTGTTAGCATTCAGTTAGCAAAGCATTAGCTTCACACACACCTCTGTCCGGATGATGTTGAAGCTGTCATTAAACCTGTAGATGTGAAGGCCCTGTACGCCTTGTTTGTAAATAACACATGACCCTCCAAAGGTTTCATAAGCTGCAGACAGGTGTAGGCGCTAACACCGAACAGGCGTTTCAGTCACGGGGATCGAAGGCTGGTTGTCAGGATCATTTGACAATCTTCATTTATGAATGAAAACATTTCGCCCCTATGCCTAATATTTTTATTTTGCATACACTTTAATACTTTCGGATGCAAAACAGCTGACAACTGATAGATAGGAATGGATGCAGGAATGAGTCCTAAAACCTGGCATTTCATCACTTCCTGTCCCCTTGGTCTGGAAGTCAATGGTGTTTGATTGTGTTTTTGGTTGTTGGCTTGAAGTAATAAGTCATGTTGATAATGTAGAAAGAGCCATACTCAGCACTTAAAGTACATTTCTCTGGTGATGCTTTAGAGACATTTTGAATTCAGGACTTTCAATTATAATGGAGTATTTTAAGACCATAGTATTTTTACTTGATAAAGTATGTGAGTATTTCTTCCATCTCTGGTCACAAGACTCCATCTGTGTCCAACTTAAGGACTGCGGGGCAGAGGTCTAACCCTCGATGACGTCTTTATGCATCAAACATTTTTCAATGTTTCACGCTTCATTACGTCCGTCTCCTGCATGAAGAACACTCTTTGTTGCTCTGATGCATCTTTTTGGAGGTCGTAGTGTGTCGGGGGAGTTTAATCAATGCCACATTAGATTTGGTGGAAGTGATGTCATTACCCAGAGGGCCTTGGGGTGTGGCAGCTGATCTGAGGCCAGTCTTAAAAACATGCTTTGTAGTATTTCTGCAAAATGGAGAAGAGCCTAAGCAATGTCTTTTTCTGTCTTTGTCTCGCATTTGGAAAGAAACATTATTACATTTTAAATGTATTTGGCATTGCATTATATCTCGGTTAGTTCGAAAGGTATATTGCTTATTTGAAACAAATAGCTTTTATCATATAAATACAAATGACTCAGTCCACTAGATGGTGCTGAGTTTGTCTCTGATGGGGTTATGGGATTTATATACAGACACATGCTGCTCATCTTCAGGTGTATATCAGTATGTAGTGTCTCTACTTTAAAGAGTCCTCTCCTGCTGATGTTCAGGTGTATATCAGTATGTAGTGTCTCTACTTTAAAGAGTCCTCTCCTGCTGATGTTCAGGTGTATATCAGTATGTAGTGTCTCTACTTTAAAGAGTCCTCTCCTGCTGATGTTCAGGTGTCTATCAGTATGTAATGTCTCTACTTTAAAGAGTCCTCTCCTGATGATGTTCAGGTGTATATCAGTATGTAGTGTCTCTACTTTAAAGAGTTCTCTCCTGCTGATGTTCAGGTGTATATCAGTATGTAGTGTCTCTACTTTAAAGAGTCCTCTCCTGCTCATCTTCAGGTGTATATCAGTATGTAGTGTCTCTACTTTAAAGAGTCCTCTCCTGCTGATGTTCAGGTGTCTATCAGTATGTAATGTCTCTACTTTAAAGAGTCCTCTCCTGATGATGTTCAGGTGTATATCAGTATGTAGTGTCTCTACTTTAAAGAGTCCTCTCCTGCTGATGTTCAGGTGTATATCAGTATGTAGTGTCTCTACTTTAAAGAGTCCTCTCCTGCTGGTGTTCAGGTGTATATCAGTATGTAGTGTCTCTACTTTAAAGAGTCCTCTCCTGCTGATGGTCAGGTGTATATCAGTATGTAGTGTCTCTACTTTAAAGAGTCCTCTTCTGCTGATGTTCAGGTGTATATCAGTATGTAGTGTCTCTACTTTAAAGAGTCCTCTCCTGCTCATCTTCAGGTGTATATCAGTATGTAGTGTCTCTACTTTAAAGAGTCCTCTCCTGCTGATGTTCAGGTGTATATCAGTATGTAGTGTCTCTACTTTAAAGAGTCCTCTCCTGCTGGTGTTCAGGTGTATATCAGTATGTAGTGTCTCTACTTTAAAGAGTCCTCTCCTGCTGATGGTCAGGTGTATATCAGTATGTAGTGTCTCTACTTTAAAGAGTCCTCTCCTGCTGATGTTCAGGTGTATATCAGTATGTAGTGTCTCTACTTTAAAGAGTCCTCTCCTGCTCATCTTCAGGTGTATATCAGTATGTAGTGTCTCTACTTTAAAGCGTCCTCTCCTGCTGATGTTCAGGTGTATATCAGTATGTAGTGTCTCTACTTTAAAGAGTCCTCTCCTGCTCATCTTCAGGTGTATATCAGTATGTAGTGTCTCTACTTTAAAGAGTCCTCTCCTGCTGATGTTCAGGTGTATATCAGTATGTAGTGGCTCTACTTTAAAGAGTCCTCTCCTGCTGATGTTCAGGTGTATATCA